GCTGGCACTGAGTTTCAGCTCTCTCCCCTTGCCCACAGCAGCTCCCTTGCAGAATGAACTTGAGTTTCACCCACACAAAAGTATGCCATCCCAGTTTGGGTTGGGGTGGAGGATGTGTCACCTTCTCTCCCCGCAATGCAATCGCAAAAGGACATTTTGCATTGAAAATAAAAGTCCCGAGGCACCAGCCTTGGTCCCCTCTTCCCCCACCCCCACTCCTGCATTTCATTTTCTTTGTTTTTCTTTCTTTTAAGGCTACACAAGGATAAGAAAATTTTTGCAGAGTGGTTGCCGGCTTTTAGTGTCCACCTGCTAAATTGCTACCCACCCCCTAGGTGCGTCTGGCTCCGTGGCAGGTGTAGCTTGCAGCTGTAGCCCATTTCACCCAGCATGGGACAGATGGACGGGATACAGCCATCACAGCGGGATAGATTTTTTTAAAAATACACGACCAGACCTTCATCAAGGCCTGGTAGGGAAATGTGGCACTGATGCAAAGTATGCCAAGTTAGCAGGTGTCTGCTCTGCTGTGTTGCATGAGCAATAGTGGGATTCCTTTTGGGGAGGATGGGGGGTTGGTTGGCATCCCCTGTGGCACAGGCAGATCATTTTGCATCTGAGTTATTTTCAAGTGACTACAGTAGGTTTTACGTGGGGAAACACTGAGGGGAAATGGCACTGGAGTTTTAATGACCTGAGTAGATTCTGGGCTTCGCCAATTATGAGTTGTGCAACAGGATGAAGCATGCATTCTGAGATCCACCATTCCTCATCTTTAAAATGTGTGTCAGAGTTGGCTAGAGCTCACCAAACATCCACATGCTCTTCATTTCCTGGCCTTTGCCCCATAGTTGTGTAACTTTAACACTTACTAGTGGCATGTAAGGGACAGGACACATCACCCCGCAGCCCAAGGCACTTAAGTGGGCAAGCTTCGAGGCCAAGGGCATAGTTAAAAATAATGGAGACCTGCCTGGTCCACATTAGGCACTACATGGGTTTGCCTGCTACAGCAACTATAATATGAAGTAATCCTTGGCAGGACCATGATGGGAATTATAGATAAGGCAGATACAACATCTAGAACATAGTAGATGCTCCATCAGAAGAGCAGGTCTTTCCATGAGCTGGGTACAGCTATAGAAGCCTTTACAAGCAGAGATCTTCAAGTAGACCAGACGGTGCTGGGCGATTTCTCTCTCCTGTGGCATAGCGTTCATGTGAAATCTTGGACAAACTAGATTTGAGAAACTTGAGTTACAAGAAGGAAGGTTAAAGGTCACAGTTTGGCTCTTTTCATTTAACCTCTTGCCTCATGGAAAACTTTTCCTAGAGTTAGTATTTCTGGAGAGAGTGCCTGGGGCAATATTTGATCTTCAAGGTCCCATGTCCTTCTCTTTTCATCTTTCCAGGAGTAATCAATAGTGGGAAAAGCAAGGACTGAGGGGTCACACAGACTTGGGTGTAATACCTAGACGTCTTACTTTGCCCTCTTTGTGCTTGGGAAAGTTATCAAACCTCTCTAAGCTTAGCTATAAAATGGTGGTTTTAATACCTGTTATTAAACCAATAGGACATATGATAGATAGATAGAAAGAACCAATAGGATATATGATTGATAGAAAGAGGGAGAGAGATGTAGATTTAGAACGATCTAGATGTAGATCTAGATATCTATTGATATATATACAGACGGGCCCTGATTTACAATGGTTTGTCTTAGGATTTTTTGACTTTGTAATGCAGAAGTGATATGCATTCAGTAGCAACTGTACTTTAAACCTGTTAATGTTAACCTTCATGGCAGAAGGACTTTAGAGATGTGACTAAATTAAGGATCTTAAAATGGAGAGATTATCCTGGATTATCTGGGTGGGCTTAATATGATCACAAAAATCCTCCTAAGAAAGAGGCAGGGAAGGCCAAAGTCATTGACAGCAGAAGCAGAAGGATGTGTTTGGAAGGAGGAGGAAGGGCCCTGAGGGCCAAGAAAGGCAGGCAACCTCCAGAATTTGGAAGAGCAAGGAAATGGGATTTCTCTGGAACCTCCAGAAGGAACACGGCCTGCTGACATCTTGATTATAGGCTCCTGCAACTCATTTTGGGGCATTGGACCTTCAGAACTGTAAGATAATAAATTTATTTCATTTTAAATCGTCGAGTCTGTGACAATTTGTTACAGCAGTGATAGAAAGCTTATATGATTAGAAAGGAAAGGTCCAGGATGCAATAAAATAGAACATAATTATAAACTATTCTTCTTATTTCTTTTTTAAGAAAATATTTTCTTTTTTTACTATCTATTTGAGAAAGAGAGAGTGAGAAAAAGAACACACGCGGGATGGGGGCTGGGGAGGGTCCAAGGGAAGACCAGCAGATTCCCTGCTAAGCAGAGAGCCAGACACAGCCTGGATCCCAGGTTCCCGAGATCATGACCTGAGCCAAAGGCAGATGCTTCACTGACTGAGTCACCCAGGCACCCTAATTATTTTTGTTTCTGCATCTGACTTGGAAATCATGAAAATTCAGTGACCCTGTATAAACGTGTGCACAACACAGGGTCATAGGAAACATAAGGAATTCTCAAGGCATGCTCTCCTGATAGAGCATCAAAATAGAAGGCTCTCTATGCACTTAGCTTCCAATTAAATCCCTCTTCAAAGCGTGCCATGAATGTGGTTTGAGACCACCCTCTGATAAATTTGCTTACTTGTTAAAAAGACAAATGTATAGGACACCTCCCAGATCTACTAAATCATCGTGCAAATCTATTCCAAGCTGAAGATGGTGGCAGGCTAACTAATGGTCCCTGAAGACATCTAGGTTCTAATCACTGGAATATATGAATATTACCTTCTAGAGCAAGAGGGATTTGCAGCCAGGATTATGTTAATGCTTTGGGGATGGGAAGATTGCCATCACCCCTTGGATGATTAGAGAGGAACTTAAATGTAAATACCCGGGTCCTTTATTTTTTAAAATACTTTTGACTTTTATTAAAGAAAGCATAAAGTATTGAATTGTACATTTTTGATCACTATTATTTTAAGAATCAGTCAAGTCTTCATCTTGCCCGCATGTTCCCAATACTTTCACATATCCTAAATAACATATCTCTCAAAAAATCTTGAAATCTCCTATAAGTAACCTGTTATCACTTTTCAATGTAAACATTAATAATATAATTTCTTGGGCTTTCCCTAATTTTTTTTCTTTTTTTTTTCATTTTATTTGCCTTGTATCTCTGGGCCATTGTCACAAGGTCCTCTGGGATACTCTGATGTACTTTTCCCAGAATATTAATTAACTCTCTCGTAATCCTCCAGTCATTTCTGGTGATAAGGGTAGTTGACACGTCATTCCTCTCTACTCTTCCCATCTGCCCTACTCTACACACAGTCTTTGATGTTCGGGGTAAATCATAATTTTTTTTTTTTTAAGACTCATTTGTGATTGCCTAACACTTTTTTTTTCCTTCGGGGTAAATCATAATTATAGACAAATACATGTGTCCTTTGGGAGAGAAGTGAAGGGAGATTTCACTGCAGACGAGGAGAAGGTGATGTGATGCTGGAAGCAAGCTGTGTGCCTGGAAGCTGGAGGAAGGAGCCACCTTGCAAACAGAAGCCAAAACTGGCAAGGAAAGAGATTCTTCCCTGAACCCCCCAGAAGGAAAATAGTGCTGCCAACACCTTGATTATAGACTCCAGAGATATGAGACAATAAATTTGTGTCATTTAAAACCACCAGTTTGTGGTAATTTGTTATGGCAGCTGTAGCAAACTAATAGTGTCCAATTAATGAATTGCAGTCGTGACTGCTCTTTATGATAGATAGATGATGAAAGATAGATAGATAGATAGATAGATATAGACACATAGATATACTTTGCTGACGACCTCATTTATTTACTAGTACAGTACTTTTTAAAATCAAATTCACTAAATACAAATAATACAAAGAGTGATATTTTGATATTACCATTTTAATCAAAGACAATTTTCTCCACACAGGTGTCTAGCTGGAGAATATCATACAACATAACAACTTTGAACTGCAGGCTACGTTTGCCTCAAGAACATATTCCAAGCAAGAGCAATGATAGGGAGCATCTTCTATACTTCTATATCCCTTCAGCCAGCTGAGTGACTGCATTTTTTATGCATCTCATTTTTATGCATTTCAAGGCACTCTGATATTTTGCCTTTTTTTTTTTTTTGGCCCTTAAAGATTTTTTTTCTTTTATATCTTTTTTTAAATTTTTTTAAGGTTTTATTTTTATTTATTTGACAGAGAGAGAGAGACAGAGATCATAAGCAGGCAGAGAGGGAGGGGGAAGCAGGCTTCCTGCTGAGCAGAGAGCCTGATGTGGGGCTCCATCCCAGGACCCTGAGATCATGACCTGAGCTGAAGGCAGAGGCTTAACCCACTGAGCCACCCAGGCGCCCCCTCTTATATCTTTATTTTAATCGCTCTTAAGTGAAAGGTAATCATGAGCTCCAAGAAGGCTGAAAATTTTGTAAGAAAATGGCTCAAAAGAAGAATGTGCTTTCCCAAAGAAAACCTCTTTTCTGCCCATTTTCCATTAACCTGCATCTGCTGACATCAACCCCCACCCAGCCACTCTTCGGGGAGAATGACGAATTTTTTTCTACATTGTATTTTATGCTCAAACTGTGATTTATTTATTTTCAAGTTGGTATTGATTACAGAGACTTGCTTACATTATTCAATTAAAGCAGTTCAGCGAGGAAGAGGTGTTTGCGGGCAGGCCCAGGAATCTGCATTGTTACAAGTGCCTCATAGAATTCTCTAAATGGAAATTAATGTTTGAAAACCATGCCTCAGGGAATAAGAGAGGAATATCTACCCAGGTGGTTGTTTCTCTATCACAGTTTATAGTCTGTTCCTTTTCAACTGCTAGTGTCGCAAAGGAAAGACAAATTAATACTATTTTCATGAGCATATTACAAATATGAGGACAAAAATGAAATTTAAAAAAAACACATAACCAAATTAAAATATTTTTTTCTCAATTATCCAGCTCCTCATTCTCCTCCAATAAAACAATTGATTCCAAGCAGACTGCAAATCAGACAATTTCTGGGTATTCAGATTGAAGGCATTCATCAGAGACATTCCTAAGTGGTTGTCAAATTTTGGCAAACCTAGATCAGAGAAGAGAGAAAAGAAATGCATGATTCATCCACATAGACATGAAATGTGATAACTACTGCAATCACTGTGTGCATGGGTGCACACGTGCACACGCGCACGCACACACACACACACACACAAACCAGCTTAAGTAATCATAACTAGGAAGAGTGAAGCCTCAACTTGGAGTAACTTTTATTTTTATCCCAGCTTGGTACTTAGTTAACCACCATTTCATATTGTTTTCTTTCTCCACCTGCATCACTTCCTCTAGAACAGAAATCCTTACAGGGTTTTCCCAATATTTCTACTCACTAAAGTTTATGCATTCATTCACCAACTGTAGAAACACACATTCCGACATGCAAGAGTAGAGGGAACAGATGTTACCCATCTCCTTATTATGACATCATAAACGTGCAAAGTACACCCTGCCAATGCCAACACATCATTGGTAACAAGGGATACCTGCGATGACCTTCATTTGAAAGGGACACTTGGGCCAATGATGAGCCATATAGATAGTCCGCAGACTCACAGACTTTAAATTGAACAAATAAAGTGGTTGAATGAAAATCGCGTTATGAGATGAAAAGAGATGGACTTGAGAGGTACAAAGTGTGAAAGAATAGAGCCCTAATCTAATCTAATCTGTTATGTACAGTGCAGAACAGGTGTGGGATGGCTGCACCACTAAGGTTTGTGGAGCTGAATTAAGTGCTTGCACTCCTCCCTCTTAGGTTTTCATCCTTGATTGCTAGAGGAGCCTTATGAGTCATCCTTACCCCTCGATTTTAATAACCATGTCTTTGGCTTATTAGCTTCTGGATATGTTTATGTGTGAGGGAGAGAGTTACAAAACGGTTAATATACAGACACAGAGCTCTTGGCTGCAAAGGAAGTATTTTAAGAAATGATGCAGCAAATACATACAAATTGATGAATATTCATGGTATATCTACTATTCTCAAGACATTGAGATGCATACAAGAATAAAATCAATAGTCCTTGTTTTCATAGGTCTTAAATGCAATAGTGTGTGTACAAGAGGCTGGGGAGAGGGCAGCAAATAGGACAAAAATAGAGAGGGAACAAGAGAAGAACAAGGTAAGTACAGACACAAATAATCACAGGAAGGATCTTATTGAGGCTGTAGATGAGTGTATGTAGGATAGAAATATCATCATCATCCTGATCTAATTTCTTTTAGGAGAGAAAAAACAAGGAGCTCAAAACAATGGCAAGTGCTCTCAAAGCAACAGGTGACTCTATGCCCTACAGGTCAGACTTTGGCATTCCAAGAAGCCTCCCCTTCCTCCATACCGCCATCCCTCCCAGACTGGCAAAACCACTCTCCTGATGTTCCCCCAGCCTCTGTGCTAACTCTGTACTTGCACTAACCATATTAAATGGGACTTCACCTTGCCCTTTACATGTCTCTTTAGACTCTGAAATCTCAAGGCCTTGGCATAGCAGCCTTGGCACCTAGAGGACGTATCTGACAGTTAGGAAAGACTCCATATTTTTCTCCTGAGTGCAACTGGACATTCAGCACAGCACAGAATGCATCATAAGTTCTCAACAAAGATTTAGTAGGCTAAATGATATCACTTTAGAAATTAAGGGGTAAAGATTTTAAAAACCATTTTTCCAAGGTTCACACAGTTAATGTGCAAAGAATTACCTAGAGAGGTTGTTAAAAAAAGGAAGTCCCCTTGGAAATTCTTGGATTCAGAAGAGCTGGAATCAGGATAGAAGCTCTCCAGTTGGTTCTAGAGCACATGTCCCCATGCCATGCATTGAGAGACTCTGCTCTCATTACAGAATTCTTAACCAGATGATACCTATCTTTCTGATTAATTGTACAAGTTCACCTTAAAACCCAAAGAGAAGGGATTTGAACAAGTCACACCATCTGACAAGCAACGACAATGTTTTTACTTCTGAAAGTGGAGGCATAAAATGGCTCTTTGTGTGAGTATCTGTCGTTTAGACACTGTTGGTTAGTCCAGTCCTGAATGGTGTGACATCTCAGCCCAGAAAGTTGAGTGTGCATGCAAATTTGTCATTAATGCTGAGTGAGGTGCACTCCAAAGTTTCTGCAGACCTAGAGAGTGACCTGTAGCTGGAGGGAAGGAGTGAGTATCTTAGAGAAATTTAAGTCATTAATATATAAGGGCTAATGAATAAGAATTTCTTGGGTGGCCTCAGGACCCACTTTCCTAACTATGAGGTTAAACAAATCCTAGCTATATCAATGCCTGCCCCCCAGAAACCCTGGAATGCAAGGAAACAAAGGGAAACATCAGTCAGAGTGTCAGGAAATCAATACTGGCTACAGTCCTAAACAAAATAAATCTTCATTAAGTCCCATCGTGATTTCAGAATTAACACGATGATTTCATAAATAGGGCAACATTGTGTCAAGAGCAAAGGCCAGTAAACTAATTTGAATTATAGACATCCATCTGTCTCCAGTCTATGGGAGCTGGCCTCTGGCAGCCATATTGAAGAGAAGGTAATTAGCACAATCCATCTTTTGATGGGATGGTGTTTTGCAGACTGTTTGAAATTCTGAGAACATCTCACCCAGACCCCAGTAACCCTTTGAAGTCTGATGAGCCGTGGCAGTTAGCACACAGGGGCATCCTTACGTGAGTGAGAGATGGCAGAGAAACCACACTTTGTAACTGAGACCACTTCATGGGCAGTTTGCCGGTTTTTTGGGAAAGTATAAGATAAAGTCCTCTCAGTAAGAGGTATTTATAAAGGGCAGTGCCATGCATCTATAAAAGCACTTTGAAATTATGTAAAATTTCTAAGTTCATGTTATTTATTAAGTTCTACCTCCTTAAAGCTTAATTGTCTATTTTGAGGAATTTGTAAAAATTTAAGAGACAGGATGATAATGCCATTAGATTTTAGCATGAACAGGAAGTATTCTCAAGGACAAATGATCAGGACCTTTCCTGTGTGTAGTGATTGTCATCTATTACTCAGCAAGAAGCATTCTCAGAGAGCAGATTATAGTCATCTCTGACCAGACGGTGGTAAGTCAATACTTACTGAGCATAGGTGGTGGTTTTGACATAGCTGGCAAGGCCAAGAAATAATGGCTTGGCAGTATCTTGGACAAGAAAGAGAAAATAGTTAAGAATTATTTTTAAATGACCCAAATTGGAATAAAATACAAGGGTCAGGGGAATAATTTGAGAAATGGCTACTTACAGGCAATAATCACCACCAGTGAACATGTGAAGACACTGACTAATATTCCTTCCAGAAACCATCTGAAACAACAGGATTTCTCAGGTTTAGCAAACTGATTATGCCTTTCTAACACATGTGATGTTCTTGTAGACTAAAGGCTTATGATTTACTTTAAGAATTACAATAACTACAGTAATAACAGTACTGTGGCATTACTGAAGGATAGACGTGGTCGTCAATGGCAGAGAATGGAAAGACCAGAAGTGAACTCATATGGATACAGTTAACTGAGTCTTATCAGAGGAGAAAAAAGCAGTTTGGTGAAGGATAGCCTTCTCAGCAATGGTGCTGGAACAATTGTATATCTACATGCAAAAGATGAACGTCCACATACACATCACACCTTAACACAAAATTTAACTATGTAACTCAAAATGAGCCATAGTCTGAAATGTAACCACAAAAGTATCAACTATTTAGAAGAAACAAAGGAGAAAATCCATAGGCCAACTGCTTTACAACCTTGCCCAAAAAGTATGTTAAAATTCTGTGGGTTTTTTTTTTATTAAATTTTATTTTTTCAGTGTTCCGAGATTCATTGTTAAAATTTTGGGGTTTTACCAATCTGATGGGTATTGTTTCACAGGGTGGAATTTTTTTTAGAAGATTTTATTTATTTATTTGTCAGAGAGATTGAGAAAGCATCCACAAGCACGGGGAGTGGCAGGAGGGGTGGCAGGCAGTGAGCAGGGAGCCTGACATGGGGGCCTGATTCTAGAACACTGGAAGGCAGACACTTAAGCAACTGAGCTACCTAGGTGTCCACAGGGTGGATCTTTTTAAAAAGAAACATTTATTTATTGTTTTTATTTTCAAAAAAATGAATCACTGAAAGAAATTATAAATAAATATGGAAGGGAAAGGAAAATATCACCAAAAAACTCTACTGGCCTAAAGCAGCCATTAATAAATGTTGATGAATACCCTTTTAGGCCTCTCTTTGTATGCATTGAAGTTATTTAATTGAAACTTAACCAATGTACAATAAAGCATTTAAAGTGCACATCTTGGGTTTTCTTTCTTTCTTCTTCTTTTTTTTAATCCTGAACTCCTGTATTCCCTACCCAGATGAAGATATGGAATATTTCCAGCAGCCTCTAACTTTTCCTTTGCCTACTCTTTTCCCAGAGTTAACCTTTCTCTCTCTATCTTTTTTTTTTTTTTAAAGAGAATTAGAGAGGGTTAGGAGGGACAGAGGAAGAGGGAGAGACAGAATCTTAAGTAGGTTTCATGCCTAGTGCGGAGCCCCACATGGGGCTCAATTCACAACTCCAAGATCACGACCTGAGCTAAATCAAGAATCAGATGCTTAACTGACTAAGCCACACAGATGCCCCACTGACTACTTTCTTATAGTTGTAATAATGCATTAATTTTGCCTTTTGTTGAATTTTACATGTATCTGCAGTCATACACTCTTTTGTCTGAGATTCATCCATGCTATTACACATATCAATAATTTTTCTTTTAACCAATCTCTTACTTAAATAATCTTTTTAAAATTTTTGAATAACTTTAGATATACAGAGAAGTTGTAAAACTAGCACAGAGAGTTTTCATTTACCCCTCACTGAGCGTTCCCAGGGAGCAGTATCTTATGCTACTATGGCATACTGTCATAATGAAAGAACCAATATTGGTACTTCCCGTTCAACTCCACACAACTTTTGGACTTTACGTGTTTTTTCCCTAATTTATCCATGTTCCACGAAGCCATCCAGGATGCCTCATGACATTCAATCATGTCTCCTTATGTTCCTCTGGGCTGTGACAACTTCTCAGACTTTCCTTGGTTTTGATGACCTTGACAGTTTTGAGGCGTCCTGGTCAGATAATATGTAGAATGTTCTCAATTGAAGTTTTTCTCTGATTAGACTGAGGTCTGGAAGACCACAGAGACAAAGTGCCACTCTCATCACATCATATCAAGGGTACATGTTATCAGTATAGCTTATCTCTGTTGATGTTCACCTTGACCATCTGAGCATCTGAGGTCATATTTGACAGGTTTCTTGGCTGTAAATTTCCTTTTTTCCCCCTTTCCATGCGCTGCTTTTTTGCAGGCAAGTTTCTAAATGCAGCTCCCACTCAGTGGATGGTGAGTTAAGCCCCTTATTAATGAGGGGAGGGTGGGGGTTGGGGAGGTTCATATCTAGAGTAATTAACCTAAGAGGAACATTTCATTAGTAGTCCCATGAAATAAAAGTTTCCATGATCAACTAAGGTTGGGAAACATTCATAGATAACGTCTTAACATTAAGTTAAATAAAGCTAATCATGTTTCTTCCCTATGTTATTTCACTGGGTCTATGTTATGCAAATGCACATATGATTTTCTGACTTGGGATACACAATGCAGAATTTTGCAAACTTATTTTTAACCACAAGACCTCCCCCACTTTTTGTTCTTTTGGTCTCATTGTAATCTAAAAATATTTAATACTACTTAAACCTCTTAATTATCTGGGACGCTTGTTTTAAAATACAGATTTTCACTAGATCTGAATTAGTATCTCAAGGGCTGGGATCCAGGATTTTGTATTTAAAAACACAACTCCTCCAAGTGATGTGAGGTATTTGACCTTCAAGAGGTGGGACTTGAGAGCAAGCAACACTTGCTTACCAGAGTGCAAATACCCAAAGACCCCAGGTCTAGACCATTTATCCTTGTTTCATTGATTCAACAAACACAGATGAGCCCCTGGCACTGGGGGTACAGAAGTGAAGGAGACACACAATGTCTCCACTCTCATGGAGCTCACATTCCTTCAGCGAGAGATAGGTCATTAACATTTAAACAGGTGAACACATAATAGGTCACATGGTGATAAGTGCTCTAAGAAAACTAAAGTGAGCATGTGTGGTAGAGAGTGGTATGCTATTTATACAGGGCTGTCAGAGAAGGTCTCTCTGATGATGTGACATTTGAACAGATTCCAGAAAGAAGTAAGGACACACGTTATGGGGTTTTCTAGAGAAGGCTGTACTGGGCAGAATAAATAGCAAGTGCAAAGGCCCTGAGGCATGAGTGCAGTTAGCATAGAAGGGACTTGACCACTGCCCTAGCGACTTGGGCAAGAAAAGAACAAGAATGGCATGCTGGATAGAGGGTAGAACAAAAATGTGCCTATAATCAGGCAAGAGCATTATGAGATCCGAGATTCTAAGTGGGCTTCCCTGGAACCGATACTTTATGTGAGGATGTAACAATGTAATAAGAAAGATGGAGTCCCAGCAGGGATTTCACATGACCTTACTGGGACTTCAAATGCCTTTGAACTCCAAGTGGGGTTACTCAGGTTTTAACTGCAGCAGGGAGTCACTAGGATTTAAATGAAAGATCATACATAATAAAATCCAAATTCCTAGGAAGATCCACCGGCTTTTGTACACTCTGTGAGATAATGAGAGGGGGGAAGTGATAGAAAAAGAGGCACTTAATGGGCACAGGCAAAGGAACCGATCTTAACCACGGAGCTACTGAAAAGGCATTGTGGAATCGGGTGAGGAAATTATCAATCAATTACAGCTTTATTAATTATGAAACACTGCTGCATGAAAAGAAAATCTGAATTACCTTGCACATGCACAGATGATGAGGAACACAGCCAGCAGAATCGCTGGAAAGGAGACCTCTTCCCACAGACTGGCTTCTAATAGAAAAAATAAAAATAAATGAATTAGAAACCATTGCTGACAATCTTAGAACAACAAAATTACAATAAAATTTCTTTTTTATACACCAAAATACCCCCACAAAACACATTTTCAAATGTATGTCAGCTCAAGCAATTACCGTAAGTAGCAAGATAAAATTATCAATGTCATACAGATTCATTCATTAGATAATTTTAGCAAATAATACTTTTTTCTGTCTTTAAGAAATGATTATGCTACACAAACAGTTTGGGGGCTTGCCCTTTATTGTAAAATTTTTACTGGGGAAACATTTTGTGGAATATAAGCTAATGTCAGAAATCTAATTCTGATGATGATGACAATCAAGCCTAAAAGTTATAGACTGCCTTATAATTCACGAAGAGTTTTCACACCTCCTTGAGTCAACACAACAAACTGTAAAGTAGGAACCACTGTCATTGCTCTTACGTGAGAAGACCAAGACTGAGAGATGATGAAATCTCCCCAAGGTGACACAGCTCTGAGGTGTCAGAGCCAAGGTTTAAAAACGATGTCTAGCCAGAATACAATGTTTTGCCTGAAATGGGGCAGGGAAAGAGAATTGCAACTTTGCATACTGCGAGTCTCTCGAGGGGAAAAAAAAAAAGAATGTATATTAAGAACTATTTGTCCTTGAAAAACTCTGCTATGAATAAGATATTTCAGTGCTATAGAGCCACATTGGAAATGACAGGAAATCCGCCAGGAATTATAATCATTGAAGTTAAACCAATCATGAACCTGAATATTACTCGAATGATCTAAAAGAAATCAGAGCTGGCTTAAGAAGAATCACATAAAGATCTAAAGGAAAGGATAAAGAGACCTCAGCTTAATTTCTGCCAAATGCTTCAAAAGCTTAATTTTGCAACAGTTGTTTAAAACTTGGAATGACTCTGTGCTGTGAATGTATTTATTTCTGCTATTTCTGCTATGAATGAAGATTGAAAAACCTACTTCGTCCATAATGTGGTTGGCGTACTGAAGATTGGCAGTGCAAAATATAGCAGTTGTGAATGAAGTCACTGCGAATGTATGGTATTTCATGTATACTGTGAATTCAGTAAGTTATTGTGGGTTCAGCTGAACACTTAACCATTCTTCTAAAGTGTGTTTGTATTCTTAGCTGATTCTGATTTGATATGGAATTTGGAAAACATTTCTTTACAGAAACAAGTCCAGCTTGACAGACCGCCAAAATCATTAGACTTGAACAGTGAACAGAGACTGGTTTAAATTCAAATTCTACAAAGATACGATTCTGTGATTTGATACAAGGTATTCACTAGTTCATTGCATCAGTAGCCATTTACTTAGTATCTAGTTTGGCTTAGTTCGACTGTCACTTCCTTCAGGAAGCCCTCCTTAATTCCTTCAGTTCCTCTATGGCTCTCAGCTACTCCTCTATACCTCCATTATCCCTCATGCATTTGCATCAGCAACCTTAACATACTGAATTAAAAGTGCTTTCTCGAGATTTCCCCACTAGCTTGCAAAGTCACCGAGAATAGTAAGCATCTAACTGCTATTCTTTGGTGGCATGGGGTGGTGCCCATGGGGAGCCACCTCTCCCTGCTCTTAGTGCATGGTTCACTTGGAGACTGAATTCCCTCCCAGCATCCAAACCATTTCCAGCCATCTGGAGCTTCACAGACTTATCGACAAAGTGATTCATTTTGCCATGTAGATGGGACCCTTCCAGAACCAGTGAAACTGGGCCTCTTATTATAACTCAAGAAGGCTATGATCTCTTTCTGCTAGACTGGAATCTGGGAAGTTGCAAGCACAATGCCATCAAGAAGCATCATAGAGTAATAATGGCCTTTTAAAACGATTTTATTTGTTTATTTGAAAAAGAGAGAGATAGAATGAGAGACAGAGCATGAGAGGAGAGAGGTCAGCGGGAGAAGCAGACTCCCTGTCCAGCAGGGAGCCTGATGTGGGACTCAATCCTAGGACTCCAGGATCTTGACCTGAGCCGAAGCGGTTGCTTAACCAACTGAGCCACCCAGGCGTCCCAGTAATAGACTTTTTAAAAAATAAAGCTGGCATAGAAGACAAGAAACAACAGGAGTAGATACTGACAGTAATCTGAAATCCATGCCCAGAATTTTCATTAATGAACAAATAAATTCCATTACTGATTAATCCAACTTGAGTTGGATTCCCACCCACTGCAACACAAAACATCCTGACGGACAGAGATGATGTCAGGCATGCGTCTATCCTTAGTGGGTAGAAGATCACCTGGACTGCATACTCACAACCTACATGTGAAGAAAATCAAATAGAATCAGATGGAGACCTTGTCTGCCCAGGGACTTTGTAGTGGGAGAAGTGGAGGAAAATGTTTTCAATAGAGTAAGTTCAGAGGGCTAGAGAATTGGAGGGAAGTGTTACCCCCACCAGCCAGAAGGGGGCAGACAAGGGCCCACAGAGGTGTTCTTAAATCTGGGCCTTGAAGGGGGTAAGGGGCCTTCCAGGTACAACAGTCTGGAGACACATTCTGGACACGACACAGCAAAGCACATGTACAAAGCTTTACCTGACCTGTCTAAACTTGAGTATCCCTATCTATGAAATGGAGATAGCACACTTAATTGGTCCACCAGTTTTGGAGCACCTGCTCTGTACCAGGCGCTATGTGGGCTGGTTGGTATCCAGATGACTGAGACATACTGTCCATCCTCAAGTAGCTCACAGCCTGGTGGACAAGACGCAAAAGTAAATATGCAAGCATAGTAAATATGCAAGAGCAGTGTAGGAAATGGGCATGAGAGAAGGAACCCTTGAAAACTAGATGAGTACCAAGAAGGGTCACTTAACTGCCTCCCCAACCCCCGGAAAACAAGATGGGACCTCTGGAGGAGGTGACTGTGGACCATCTGGAAACTGTCTAAACAATGAAAGTTGCTCTTTCTGTCATCGCAGCACCTGGAAGGGAACCACAAAAGCTTTGAACACTCACCTAGTAGCTGACCTGGGAACAAAATGGAATGGGGGCACAGTGAGGAAGAATGGTCAGTGAGATGCATTTTCATGGTTTTGTGAAGACAAATAAAGAGAAGATTTTTTTTTTTCTGTTCAACCTCAGTCTTATGTAATCATAATCTCACATACATTTTGAGTACTTAGGATACAGGACGCGCGATGCTAAGTGCTTTCCATGAATTATTTTCGTCGTGACAAGGTAGGAACTATGATATCTCCATGTACAGATGAAAATGCTGTTTTAGAGAGTTTGGGGAACCGCTTGTGAGTTACAGCTAACAAGTGGGGGCTGGGCTTTGAACCTTGGCAAACTGAGGGACAGAGCCTTGATGCTGCGCTGTGTGCAGACATGATTAATCTGATGTTGGCAAACTGGAGGTTGAAGAACATGCTTGTTGAATTTATTTCAGATTTACTCCTGACAAGAAATACCAGTACCTTTATATCTTTTGACTTTTCCTTGCCGGAGGCATTGCACTAAAGGGTGCTTCTGTCTTCCTTCCTTTCTTTTTCTTCTTATAGAATATGTCACAGATACAGCTAAGTATGAAACATAAAATCACAGACACCTGTGTACGCATCACCCAGCTTCAGCAAAGCTTCACATTTTCCCAAATGTCTTCAGGGTTTTTAAGAGAAGAAATAAAACACTGCAAATCCAGTCCTTCTGGTGCCTCTAAGATGACACCCTGAAAGCAGGGACCTCCTCTGCTCATGTGTCACCTGCGGCTGCAGTGCCCCGGTCCTCCCCTGCGCCCACAGGCAGATCCCGTTCCCAAGTGCACCTTAGTCACCTCTAACTCATTCTCTGGCCCTGAAAGGAGGAATTCTTTGGGTGTGGTATAGATTAAAAACAACAACAACAACAACAACAACAACAACTCACTTGCACGATCCAAAATGTTCCCTGGGAAATGTTCAGAAGACATCACATGAGACTGAAGAGCCCCATCGTGGGAGTTTTGTCGTGGACTCTGAGATATGGCATGGCTAGAGGAGGCGGCTACATTTGGCTGCTCTGACTCGCAGGCATCAGTCAGGGAACAGTCAGAATCGCCTCCTGGAAAAGAAGAAGGGCTCAGAGTGCGGTGCTGGTGTGTGGTCAGTGGCTCTCCACGTGCAGTAGCAAATGGTCATCCCCATATCAACGCTTTGGGGGTCTGATGGGAGATGGGTCTCTGACTGGGGTGGCATTTCAATTTGTCCTCATCTTTGAAGGCCCCAAAAGAAAAGGCTCTTCAGTGCAGAGACAGCAAAGGCCAGAAGCATGAAAGCCTTGTGAAGAAGGGCCATTCCAATACGATCAGAGCAAAGGGACCCACTGGGACATAAGGCTGGAAAGCAAGAGTGAGAGCAGGTCACACAAGACACTGACTTCCTGGTAGAGGAGTCTGGAATTTATGCTGCAAGCAGTGGAGAGCTGGAGTGGCTCTGAGTGAGGGTGTCACTGGACATCCACACTTCCGTGGGATTTTCAGGTAGATAAAGCATTATGTGGTTTTAGTATATGGTAATATCCAGGTGGCCTTGCAAGAAATCATGAGCTAGTAGCCTAAGACTAATGTACAGAAGAAGACTCGTTTATAGGATATCTCACCCTTCATCCCTGAGTGCAGTGGGAGTTGTACAGATGGATTTGAGAGATGTGTGATGAGTATATGAGAGAGGCTCATGAGCCATTAGCAACAGGCTCATGAGCCATGAGCCTCTCTCATATACTCATCAGGTGTAGAGGGAGAGGGAGAGAGAGAGAATTTCAAGCAGACTCCCTGCGGAGCAAGGAGCATGACTCAGGGCTTGATCTCTGGACCCTGAGATCATGACCTGAGCTGAAATCAAGAGTCTAATAATCAATGGACTGACCCACCCAGGCACCCCAGCCTCTCATCTTTATTGCACCAAATGATAGCAGAGCCAACTCCTTCTATTTCCTATTCATTCATTCAGCAAACATTTACTGGATGTGATTCTATATGAGGAACTGACCCAGCTGCAAGGATACAATGGTGAAGACGATGTCTCGGTCCTCATGCACCTCATGTTCTGTTCGAGAAGAAAGAGAATAGCTGTGAAGGACATTCTCCCTCTGTAAAATACCTTGAGGTGCTGGATAAAATATAATAAAGATCTCAACTTTTTTTTTTCATTCAAGGAGGCTGTGGTTTGGAGAGGGACAGGTATACACACCAACAATGAAGATACTATGGGGTCATTGCTACCATGAAGGGCAGCAGAAGGCATCCAGGAAGAGTCTAGGAAGCAGTGTCTGAGTCCATCGGGGGAATCCAGGCATGCTTCACAGATGAGATGGTGCTTACATGAAAATTGGTTGAGTAGGAGTTCTTCCAGGGAGACAGCAGGAAGAGGGGAGGGCAGACAGAATAAAGAGGAAGGGAGTAGGAGAAGGAGCAAGGGGAAAGGGAAAGAAGAAGAGGAAAAGAAAATACATTAACTCACGAGAGAACATGGGGGAGGGTGTTCCCTGAATAGCAAGTGCTCCTTTGAGCTTAGACAGGAGGGCATGTGAGTGTGGGTACTCTTAGGAGATGATCTTGGCTGGACTGCTAAGCAGGGATCCGATCACGAAGGACCTCATGGGTCACACTCTGTTGCTAAGATATATTCCCAGGGAATTTGGAACATGAGTGTAACATGAGGACTGCTCTGTGTTGAAGTGCTCACTCAGCAATAAGAGACTCCCATCCCCATTCCAGGAGCAGGGAGCGATTGTGGAAACCCCCCCCCCCAAATACATGGGGTCTTCATATAATGGTGCTCCTTAACTGGAGGAAATTTCTGCCCCCAGGGACATCTAACAATGTCTGAAGACCTTTTTGGCTGTCACAGATTTGGGGGGGGGGCAGGCACCGCAGGGGAGGGAGTTGCTACTGTCATCCAGTGACTAGAGCCCAGGGATGTGGTTAGCATCCTGTAAGGCACAGGGCAGGCCTCACAGTGAAGGATTGTCCAGTCCCAAGTGTCAGCAATGCTGAGGTTGTGAAACCCTGCCACAGAAAGAGCAGACCCAAGTGTAGAATGAATCTTGATCATTAGTGCTCTGTCAGCAACTCTGGTAAGCACTTAGAAGCAGAGAACATCTGTATTTTCCTACATTTTCTATATCTTCCTGATTGCCCTTACTCTTGTCAAAATACCCTGCATTCTGCCTTCATAGGGCAAATCATAATTTATGATGTCATAATTATTTTATAAACACATACTATTTAATACATAATTTGTGTGGTTTTTGTTTAATACCTACTTCCCTTATGAGACTAAAACCACCATGAGAAAAAGGCCACTTCGCCTGCCCCAGCCCCAGACCCCAGCAATAATGTGGAGCTTGTTGTTAGCACTCAGTAAGGTATGCTAATACATAGAGAGTTCAGGTAAGGGGGCAGGGAGGATGAGACATGTGACGCCATTTTAACAACTTGGGCTGCTGTAACAGCGTCACAGCAGCCATAGAGAGAGGGTTGGGGGGGGGGGAGGGTCACTGCTCAACTTTGTGGAGGCTAAAGCTGATTTGAGTTTGAGGCTTTAAGCAGGGAGAGTGGCCTCCTAGCCCAGGCTGGTGGGCTGACTCTGCATGTTGCACTCCCCTCCCACTCAGCCTGGATACTGAGCAAATGAGCTGGTGCTTTTGGACCCGGGAATTTCTGCCAGCCTTGCAGTCTCCCTCCCACCATCCCACCCACACCCTGCGGCCGCTTGATAAAAAGCAGTCTGCAGAAGCATCCCTGCTGGTTGCCATAGAGAAAGGAAACAGCAGAAAGTAAAACACAGGGATCATCCAGTAATGACCATGCGGCCCAGGAGGTCCTGGACCATGTGATTCCAGCACCAATCACAATGGCCACGCTCCCAGAACAACCCAACCCAAGCATTCATCTATAGATGAAGGAAAAAAGAAAATCCTGCCATTTGCAATGCCATGGATGAACCTGGAAGACATCGTGCTAAGTGAAATAAGCCAGTCATAGAAGGACAAATACTGCGCAGGTCCACTTACAGGAGGTACCTAAAATCCTCAGTCACAGAGGCAGAGAACAGAGTGGTGGTTTCCAGGGGCTGGTGGTTTCGGAGGCACAGAATGGGGGATTACTGTTCAATGGGTATAAAGTTTCAGTTACACTTGATGAATAGGTTCTAGAGATCCGCTAAGTAACATAGTAGCTATACGTAACAACAGCATTGTGCTCTGCAACATTTGTAAGGAGAATGGATCTGGTGTAGATTGTTGTTACTACAAACACCCCCCCCCACACACACACACATATGCACACAGGGACCCAGGGAAACTGTGGACTGCTTGGATATTCCTACGCCTTGATTGTGGTGATGGTGCTACAGGTGTTTGCACCTGTTCAAACTCATTGAATTTACACATTAAATATGTACAGTTCTTTGTAAATCAGTTATATCTCAATAAAGCTGTCAGAGAGAAAGAGAGAGAGAGAGAGAGGGAAGCCTATCTGGTCAAATTCACATGGAAGTGAGAAAGAACTAAGAACTTTCATGGCTGATTATTTCTTGAAGGGTGACGTTACACTAAAATCTGCAGAGCTGTGGATGGGAGACCTGTGAGAGCAGTGAAAATGTCTCCAAGCTTGGCTGCCTTGTTGAACTTAGAGCTTTGCCCTGGGAGCTGCATCCCTGTAGAGTAATGGAATCTTATGCAGAATTTTCTAGTAGAGATGGCATTAAAGAAGGAAATTGTAAAAAAAAAAAAAAAAAAAAAAAAAAAACCAAAACAAACAAACAAACAAAAAAAAAACTTAACATTAAAGAATGATCAAAGAATTTTCATCTGTGGGAAGACATGGTTTGTCCCCAACATACACTTTCCCTAACGGACATTTAATTTTTGTCTCCAACCTTGATAATAAATGAAAGGATCCTAATGCAGATAACATTTCTACAAACAGCTCTGTTGTATTACATTTGAAGATATTAATTCTAATCTGTTTCTCCTGATGTATTTAAATTCAATCTTGCTTACTTCCATTTTAAAAACGGTCTGTTTCTTCTAAGTGTATTTCCATATCCTTGCATATAAAATGGGCATTATTGTTTGCTATGGAGGGAAACACAAAGCCATATACAGAGGCTGCCATCAAAGATATTTATAGGAGAGGCATTGGCTCTGGAGAAAACCACAGACCTCAAGCTGGGAAGCCTTGTCTGAGGTTGTCCTGCCTTTCTTTCCTTGGACTGGCAGAAGTGAAGTGGGCAGTCCTGACCAGTCCTCCCTGCAGGAATGGTTTATCTTCTTTCACTATGACTCACAGGCCCTGGGAACGTCTCCCAAACTGCAGTCTTGGGGTCTGGGGAGCTGCAAAATGCCATGGCTAAAAACTGATTGCAGCTGATGAGGAAGGTGTCTAGACACAGCTGCAGAAGGGGTGAACTAAGGATAAAATAGACAACCAAGAAAAATCCTTTTTAGTCTGAAAAATGAGGCACGATAAAGTCAGGGGAAGTAAGTTTTGATTGCATCCCTTGCCCAGAGAGAAAACAGCAGAACAATTTAATTTTGAATTCTTCTTGAGTCTTCTAACGAGGCAACATTTCCAGAGAAAAATAAATTGCTGATAAAAGTCACGGGGCCTTGGGTAAATCCGGAAAACAAGAAGTCTGGGGAAGATTTTATTACAGTTGACAGCAGAAATGAGGGATTTCAAAGTCCTGTGCACACCCGGTTTGCCTAATTACTGATTTTGGGGGGGGGTGGTTTGATTTGTTATATTTAGAAGATATTTGGAAACCATGGGAATTTTAGCAAGATATCTCATACTCGTATAGCACTCGTGTGGTCCAATTGCTTTACAATTGTTTGGACATGTTTCCAGGAGGAAACTATGGGAAAACTAGATGTTAGTTTCTGAATATGTGTAACATTGCTTTTAGAACACCGAGTCCCAGACTTCTAACAACCAACCACCATTTTCCTGATTTTTGCTGTATCCCAGAGACTGCCTACTCTTAGCCATCTTTAATATTTTCTTTAAGTTGTTTCATTAAATCTTTTACTTTGAAGGAAACTTTATGTCAATCACT